TGTATAAAGGATTTGTCTGCGTATTATTTTATATATTACATATTTTTATTCGCACCAATAAAGAACTTAAAAAAAAAAAACTAAACCGAATTGGGTTCAAACCAGCTTGGAACACCTAACGTGCAGATTTATAATGGCCGCGTTCAGTAGAACAAGTGATCAGTAAGCGCTCAGTGAGCTCTTGCATCTGATTGGAGTATAGTTGGAGATCTAAAAGAATATGCCAAATCATATACAAGCGCTCCCTGAGCGCTTACTGATCACTTGTTCTACTGAACGCGGCCATTAATATCAGTAAGTTGTGTACATTACTCTGCATTATGAGTATGGTGAGTAACATTAATTATATTATTGATATGTTACTTTTTTTGTAATATTGCACAATAATATTACAAGTAATATTGTTGCATAATATATTAAATCCTAAGTAGCAAGATAATGTCAAATAACATTTTCATTACATCATTAAAATGTTATTAAAACGTCATGTAATGTTATTTGGCATATAATATATCGTATTGAAGTATGAATAATATATTTTAAAGGTAATATATTATTTTATAATATGACAAATATCTTTTTTGTTAATATTATTCAAGAGGAACTTCCTTTCTTCGGGTCACTGATTTTGCCGAACTTTTGTAGAAATATAATATTGTTATAGAATTAACAAACGTTATTCAGAGACTATGCAACTCTCAACCGTTTATAAGAAATTGCGGTTTGAAATTTAACAAACTCCCTTGTTTCCATTGTAGTAGAACACGGATTGAGCAGCGGTGTAGCGCAGCGGACTAGGCGCCACATTGGCCGCGTTCAGTAGAACAAGTGATCAGTAAGCGCTCAGAGAGCTCTTGTATATGATTTGGCATATTCTTTTAGATCTCCAACTATACTCCAATCAGATGCAAGAGCTCACTGAACGCTTACTGATCACTTGTTCTACTGAACGCGGCCATTATAAATCTGCACGTTAGGTGTTCCAAGCTGGTTTGAACCCAATTCGGTTTAGTTTTTTTTTTTTAAGTTCTTTATTGGTGCGAATAAAAATATGTAATATATAAAATAATACGCAGACAAATCCTTTATACAGTCGAACATTTTTATTACAATAATGACTGTGATATATATTACAGTAATATTACTGTGATGCGTTTTCGCATTGTAATATTACTGTGATATCTCAGTAATATTACAGTAATATTTCTGCTACATTTCATTGTAATATTGCAATGGAATTGTAATAATACTGTGATATTACTGTAATATTACGTGTTATGTGGGATGTCAAGCTGTCAAAATGTCAAGCTGTCAAAATGTCACTTCTATTTTGACACATTCCCGCTTGCCGGATGAATCAACAGTCATGAAAAACGATCAGCTAGAAACGGACACGGCTGGTCAAAACTTTTTGGTGGCTATCGATCTGGGAAATGGTATAGCATCAACGCAACTGAGTGTACAAAAAGTATTATGTAAGTACAATGTTTTGCACAGTTTCTTGAAACCGTGAAACATATTTCACAGGAAACATGTGAACGCTTGATTGTTAGATGGCTTGATGCAGCACTTTTTTTAATGACTTATGAATAATTGATAAACTTCTTAAGAAAATCTAACGTACAATTAATCTTTCTCAAAGGTTAATTATACTCTTACATCATTGTAAATCAAAATGTAATTTGTATTGTATTATATTGTAAATTTAAACTGTTGAGAAAAATTTGTGTTATTTGTAAATGCTATGAAATTAATATATATTCTCGATATGTTCTTATATACGCTTTTTCACGAAGAATTCATGAGACTACATGGAAATTTATCTGCAATTACAAAAAGTTAAATTTTTTATAATTACTTTTTAACTTTCTGTAATTATGAATCCCAATAAGCAAATAGAGCGCAGACTGCGTGCAGATTGGCAGCAAATTTGATCAAAAACCCACAGCAAAACCATAGCCATCTCTGTGTCTACATTAGGCTACGGTTTTGGCGATAGATCTTGCTGTCGGGTAATTAGTGCCAAATTTGCAGCAAAAACCGCGCAAAGCTTGCAGCGCAGCAAGGTCTGCACGGTTTCTGCCGCCAATCTGCCGTCAAATTGCTACAAGCTCTGCGCGGTTTTTGCTGCAAATCTACAGCAATTTTCCGACAACAAGCTCTGCCGCATATCTGGCAGCAATTTGACAGCAAAATTTGATATAACAGATCCTGCATCAATTTGTTATCTATTTGCCATCAAAAGTTGATAGCAAGCTCTGCTCTGCTCGAAATCTGTTCGCGCAGGTTTGGCTATCTGGGAAATAAAATAAAATAAAATAAAAATAAAAAGATCTGCAAAAATTTAGCTTAAGCTAAATTTTTGCAGGTCTTTTTATTTTTGATTATTCACGTAAGCCATTAATGTTATAGGCTAAAATCAAAAGCTTATCCTAATGCTTTCGTACGAAAAAATTATGAAAAATATTGGTTTCTATCAGAATTATTTAATTTTATCAGAAAAAAGATAAGGATTTTAAAATTTCAAGATAATAATTACATTGAAAAGTCTATCTGTTACAACTTCAGCATCCTTGAATTTGTGTGCAACTTTTGTATGGAATATTTTGTATAATGTCTGAAAATGATTTAAACTGATGACCTCAGCAAACATGATGTAACAATGTTTATAATTTTCCACTCAACAATATAATTGTTATATAATGTGTATGTTACATATGACAGTTATATTGTTAAATATAAAATTATAACAATTACATAACTGTTATTTTGCTGGGACATTACTTGTTTTTTGAAATATAAAATATTATCATTCTGTACTATGTACTGTCACTCTGCTACCTGCTAAAATATAATTTCTGTACTATATACTGTGACTCTGTTATCTATTGGTAGTAATTATCTAGTAAGTTTTCAATGCTAACTACTTATATTGGCGCAGTTTCTTGCATAAACAGTTTTTTTATATCAAATACACCTATAAATTCAGATGTCATCTATTAGACTTACTAGTTAGACTCAGCACTTCGACTCTGCCTGTTACAAGCTACATTTAAAGTATAAACGATGGCTCGATTAATCAATATCGTGATGATCATCGGGATAGTGCTGGTATCCGTCTTCGCAGCCGAAGAGTTCTATTCCGATAAGTACGATAATATCGATGTCATGGGAATTCTCGAAAACGACAGATTGCGAGATCAATATTATAGCTGTTTTATGGACACAGGACCGTGCACGACAGCAGATATGAAGTTTTATAAAGGTAACATAAATTGTATTCTACTTATATATCTTACATTATTGTTCTTGGTATATTCTTCGTGCAAATCCAGTATTATTTTTACATTAACGAATAATGTCGAAGTGACTATAGTTGTTTGAAACTCAATTTCGCGTAGACTATTGGAACTGTTATTTGAAAATTCTGAGCACAGAGAAATAAAATGTTATAAATTTAAGACAGGAAGTATTCGATATTAGATTTTCATTTTATTTTCATATTATTTATTCAGAGATCATAGACGAAAGTATAGCAACAAAATGCAAGAAGTGTAATGAGAAGCAAAAGGAAAATCTAAATACGTTAACCGATTGGTACACGAAGAATAAATTGGATGACTGGAACGCTTTTGTTAAAAAGATGTTAGAGGACTTTAAGAAGAAGAATGGTGATCAATAACAGCTGGCAGAACTGACAGCAACAATATTAATTTGTAATATTACTCACAGTAAATAACAACTATCAGTAACATAAATATCAATGTTACATAATTTTCTACTCAACAATGTAAATGCAATATAACATATGTGTCATGTAGTTACATTGTTGAACAGGAAATAATAAAATTGATATAAAGTTACTGTTAACTGGTGTTTACTAGTTAAATTTGTAATATTAAATTTTTATACTTAGTTTCTGGTGCTGGAAAACTTTAGTATTTTATTCATAACTGACACCACAAAACATTATCATCCTGAGTATGGCAAGTTGTCTTTGGGAGTGCCTTAAGACGTTTGAAGTACGTTCAGGATAATCTCGGGACATTTTGTGTTGTCTAGAGTATTTATATCTGTAATATATATATTATTAAAGTATGAGATCATGCAGTAACATCGATTTTATTTCGCCAGTTACACCCGTGAACTCTGCCAATGTAAACTGTATTCAGACTTCAGACTTCAATTATTGGCTGAGCGCACTCTGACTTTAAGTGGCCCAAAGCCATTGCACAGATAAATGCTTCCATCGTATATGTAAGAGACAACAAAAGATGAATTCAGATAGAATATCTCACGCTTTGACGAATTTGGAAATGTAAGAGAATAGATATGAATGAGTAGGGCCTTGGTAGGTTCCAAAGGCAACTTCCAAAAATCACTGGTCTGGACACGTTCAAACACGTTCAAACACGTGTGGTCTTAATGTCGGTCGTAATGGTATGGTGGTGCTACTACTAAATGATGAAATAGTAACACGGTATCACCGATCAACCACAACAATAAATTTATGTTACGTCGGGAAAACACTGTGGACAGGAAGGAGCTCGAGCCACGGCAATAAGCTAGATTCGCTTTTCTGTATTAACAATAACACAGCGTCAGAGTTTATTACTAAGATAATAACGAACAAGAGATCTTATTACATACAAAAGAAACGCACGCGGAACAAAACAGAGTCACGCTAAACGTGTCACGGACGTAGCGTGAAAACTCTCTCGTGATTGGCTGAGACGACGGCCTTCAGCCGATCACGTGAACAACGGCGGAAGCGCGCGCGTGAGCGAGGGCAGGTAGCATGACCGGCGCACGTGGCCGGCCGCCAACCAACTCTATAACCAGATAGGAGAAATGTGCACCTGCCTCTGCTGCACGCGGCGACCAGGCTCGCAGGGCAGCACGATGCGCCCCGAGCCACACTATTCACTCGCGATACTCGCGCACACTCGCGAAACAAAGGCGCCTCACGAGAGAGACAAAGGACGGCGACCGCGCTTGGCCAGCCGTCGCGCGATGCAGCGCGAGCACGCCGATTTGCTGACGATGATGTCCGGACGACAATGCAGGCTCGTCTCCGTGAACGCGCGGTGCGCGGCTGCATGCAGATAACCGGGTACTGCGAACCGCGTGTAGAATCGCGGAAGATCACGTGCGCGGCACGTGAGCGACACGTGCACACCGGAACGGGCGGCTTCGGATCGACGGCCCTAAAAGCCTCTAAGCCTCGCGGGCTGAGCCCAGCACGGAACATTCGGACACGCTTACCGCCTCCGAGCACGATATCACAACGAACGTAATGTGAGAGGCATTACAGCGCACAGCCTACGCGACGAACAAGAACGAGACGGACGGAACGCACGAACGGACGAACTCTGAGGGCTATCGCACACAAATTGACATAACTGCATATGCATAGCATAAGATCGTATGGACCAATGAGCATTGAATATTAAGCATCGAACACCAATATGGCGACTTAATACTCGATGCTCATTGGTACATACGGTCTTATGCTATGCATATGCAGTTATGTCAATTGTGTGCGATAGCCCTAACCTGCACTCTCGACGAGCGGGGATACGAATCTGCTGTAGAGCGCCTGTGGGCACACTACTAGAAACCGGCACGCGCGAGCTCTCGCGGCGCGGCCGAGAAAAGTTGCCGCGGCTGTAACACCTGCTTCCGTCTCCCGACGCGAGGTGTCGGATGCTGCACTCCGCGCACTAACGAACGCACAACCGGGAGCTGCCGGACCACCACACACGTCTTAACATGCCGGCGGTTAAACCGAAACTGTAACTATAAACTGTATTCCTTCCTTCCTTCCTTCAATATTTGGCTACAGGCCTCTCTAAGAGTAATGCCCCAACGCCATTTTCCGATTAATGATATATTTCGAGATCAAAGTCTTGGAAATTTCCAAGACACGTTCCAAAAAAATCATAACTTGTCCGAACTTGTTCGAACACGTCTTGTCGTGACGGCGGTTAGGCCGGAACTAACTGTAAACTGTATTGTTTCTTGCATTACTGGTAGTCTGTTCTTTTCAGTTACACTACTGAACTGGTGCAATAAGTTAGAGTGAAAAAACATATAGGATGCTTTCCAGTTGCAATATCTTTAAGCCCATTCTACAATTGCGTGAACGTGGTTGTATGTGGTTATAAGTGATTACGACAACCTATCAGAGTAAAGCAATCAGTGAATAAAACATTCGGATTGGTTGACTCTTATGTTCACGACTACGCTTACGCAATTGTAGAATGGGCTTAAAGAATTAATGTGCACCGGAATTAATGTAAGACCGGTATTCATAGTCAGATCTTATATTTAAGATTGCTTAAGTTCATCTTTAGATACTCTATAGCCAATGAAATAACCCGTACATTATCTGAAGATAAACTTAAGCGGTCTTAAGCCCATTCTACAATTGCGTAAGCGTAGTTGTGAACGTAAGAGTCAATCAATCTGAATATTTTATTCACTGATTGCTTTACTCTGATTGGTTGTCGTAATCACTTACAACCTCTTACAACCACGTTCACGCAATTGTAGAATGGGCTTAAAATATAAGATCGACTATGAATATCGGCCTAAGTGTGAAAGTGTAAAAAGTTCAATTAATGCGAATAAACTTATTGAATATTAACTATTTTCAGACAACTCACATCTTCAAAGGACGTCCTAAAAATATTCTGATGACATCCCTCCGTCCTAAAAGCGTCTTCAGAACGTATTTTGGAAAATTTGTATTGTATGAGGTGCACTAGTGTGCAACGGACATTAGGTGTAAAAGTGTGAATAGTACAAGCAATTCGAACAAACCTAATGTGATTAAAAGATCAGTAACTTGTTTAAATTGTGGGAAAGCAGCAATGTTCGACAAGTGAAAAAAAAATTTGTTAAAAGTTAAAACAATATATAACTTGCATATTTTTCGGATTTCCCTGATTGATTATCAGTATTGAAGTTAAAATAAATATTTTTACCAAAAGAGCTGCAAAAAGATATCAAAATTCGAAAAAGGCCTTATTGTACATAATTACCCGAAAAAGAACCAGGAATATTGAAATACTAAATAGTACACCGATCGCGCCTGACGGTACTTTCACAGCAGCGCTTGAGATCGATATTTCTGCCAAATATATGATTTTTTAATATTTAATTAAAATTATCTGGATGACTCACAAATTTTTTTAATGATACTTCATAACTCTTCATACAAAATACAAACGATACCATACCGAACCTTTGTTTAATTTACCTCCGGTCATTATTTCCGGCTAAATACATGGTCCAAAAAAGAACAATTAATTACAAGTAATAGAATGACTCACAAATCTTTTCAATTACGCTTCAAAACTCTTCATATGAAATACAAACGATTTAAAAGAATAGTTTTCCAACCGGAGTTTTTTTTCCGGTCAAGTACATACAAATGTTCCACTCTTATTCCGCGCTCCGCTATTCTGCTGCATGGGTTTGCATCTTTATTGTTATGCAGGATTCACACTGCGTCCGATGTCCGACGTACGAGGTCCGATATCCAATAAAAGAACAACTTTCTAATAGAGAATTCAATTCTCCATTGGAAAGCTGTTCTCCTATTAGACGTCGTACGTCGGATATCGATGTGAATCCTCCATTAGTCCCGATTTACAATAGGTGTAGTAAGCTTTAAGCCTTAAGAATTTGACCAATCACAGTGGAATTATAGAGGAATAATCAATTGTGACTGGTTAATTTCTTACGGCTTAAAGCTTGCTACATCTATCGTAGATCGGGACTTAAGCTGGTAGCACATAGAAAAACTTAAGCAGTAAAACGTAAGCAGTAAGCAAATTGACCAATCACAGTCATTGATTCTTCTTATGGCTAAAAAATCAACTACTGTGATTGGTCAATTTGCTTACTTCTTAAGCCCATTCTACAATTGCGTGAAGGTGGTTGTAAGTGGTTGTATGTGATTACGACAACCAATCAGAGTAAAGCAATCAGTAAATAAAACAATCGGATTGGTTGACTTTTACGTCACGACAACGCTTACGCAATTGTAGAATGGGCATTACGTCTAAAGGGACGTCTACATTGGAAGTAAGCAGTAAGAAGTAGGAAGTAAGAATAAGAAATTGACCAATCATAGTTGATTATTCTTCTCACATTCGACTGTGGTTGGTCAATTTCTTATTCTTGCTTCCTACTTCTTGCTATTTACTTTCAATGTAGACGTCCCTTTACTGCTTAAGTTTTTTTGTGTACTACGATCCTTAAGGCCTTCACACACACTTTCCGTAAAGTAAGACGTAACGTAAGAATTGACCAATTACGATAGAATATTCACAAAAATGGCGACCTTATGTTTCGACGATTCTCAACGTGATTGGTCAATTCTTACGTTACGTCTTACGGTTACTGTTACGGAAAGTGTGTGTGAAGCCCATTCTACAATTGCGTAAGCGAGTCGTGATCGTAAGAGTCAACCAATCCGAATGTTTTATTTACTGATTGCTTTACTCTGATTGGTTGTCGTAATCACATACAACCACTTACACCACGTTCACGCAATTGTAGAATGGGCTTGAAGGCTTTTATTACTTCAAAAGCGCAAATCTACGGTCTGTTCCGCAATCTTGCCGAGTCAGTTCTTCGGATCCGTATACGCAACTGTCAGGTCTAGTTTAGACACGAAGATCAAAGATTAACTTGTTCTTTCCTCTCAATATTGGAAGAACAAGTGTCACAATATAATATTATAATTATTTTACTTTTGCGCCGATTGCAAGAATCAGCTCTGAGAAAGTCAATCGATTAACTACCGATCAACGATAAGTTTTTATATTTTTAGTTATTCAGAGTTAAATGACTACGTGTCTGTACTGAGTGAGTGTCTAATGATGAAATTAAACAAACATAAATAACTATATAATATTTAAAGGAACACTAAAATAATGCATTTTAGATCCTTGTAAAAGAAGTCAATAGTAAATCAGGTACAAAAAATGGCATTCCGTGATCTTGTGGAAGGAGATTGTGGAAATTCCAGCTCGTTGTTAGGTTTGGCATCACACTATGTCAATAATCATGGATTCAAGGAAGAAGGTATTCAGCAGTTACTTGGGCCACCAAACCTGCATCAACCAGTAACTGGAGATCAGTTAGTTAAAGAATTCCTAGAAGAATCAGTTTGCCCACAAACATTTAAAATGAACAATTTATTGCAAGAAATGAGGAGCATTGAACAAAGTATTTCTTGTCCTATGGTAACATCTGGAAGTATCATAGAATCAAGTAATTCAAACAATAATTGGATAATTGAATATACAGATTCTAAGAACATGGTAATTTAATAAAACATCAACATTGCTATAATACATGTAGGAAATATTCATTTTCAGCATGAAACATCTGATTGTTAAATATTTCTAATTATTAGTATAATTTATATAATATATAGAATAAAACTATAAATTAGTTTTTTACAAAACAGTTTTATAAAAATATTTTTGATATTATTAATAGGTTTTTAATGCATTATTTGTCATCATTAATGTATTATCATGTTTGGTGAATTGCTTAGAACAAGGACATGCATTTGACTAAAAGTCATCCTGAAATTGGCTTTGGACCAGAATGGGAAGAAGAATACATAAAGCAGAATATAGATATGAAACAGAATATTGCAACAAGTAGTGATTCAGAACAGTTTCAACTTTCAGAAGATTATAAGAGAGAATACTTAGAATCACAGCCAGAAATTTTTGAATTCATGAAAGAATATGATATAAACCAACAAAAAAGACACCTTGCTTGCTTTCGTGATGATGATACTATCTTGAACAAAGTGGAGGAAGAATTAGAAGCTGCAGGTTCATGGACAAATGAATTTATAAAAGATGATACTTTATCAAGTATGTATTTATAGTTTTTTCCTTTAACAATATGTATTATATGATATTTGTTTCATAAACACTTCACATAAACTATGATGTTTCCTCATATTCTCCTGAATCATGTTTAAGTAAAATGTATTATAATTAATATAAAATACATATTAATTAATAAATTAATAATAAGCAAATAATAAAAAAATAATATATATTCTAGAAGACACTGATTACAATAGCTGGGAAGAGTTAGAAAAACAATGGGAAAAATTAGATAGCACTGATTTCTACCCATTTGGCGTATCAAATGATCCCGTTTCTGAGGTGTATGAATTTCAACAAACAAATCCTATGAAAGATTTGCCAAATGCGTTAGAGGAAGGCAAGAGACGATTAAAAGTGGGAGATTTGCCAGGTGCTGTGCTTTGTTTTGAAGTAGCTGTTCAACAGGAAGAAAATAATTCTGAAGCTTGGTATCTTCTTGGCAGAGCACAGGCTGAAAATGAGCAAGATCATTTTGCCATTCCTGCCTTAAAGCGTTGTCTGGATTTAGATCCAATGCATGGTGCTGCTCTCATGGCACTAGCAGTTTGTTATACAAATGAATGTCAGCAAAGGCAAGCTTGCATTACATTGAAGGAATGGCTATTGAAAAACGTGAAATATGAACACTTGGTTATAGAAGGTTCGGGAATATCTGAACGACATCCACGTTCACCTAGCATATTGTTAGAGTGAGTTGAGAGAAGATAATATTTATAATAGGAAGTTTTTTTTAACTTATCAAATATTTATTTTTATAGTAATGCACTACGGAGAGAAGTTCAACAATTGTATATCAAAGCCGCGAGAATGAATCCCCACGGTGAAATTGACCCGGACGTACAATGTGGGCTAGGTGTACTATTAACTTTGATGAGCGAGTATGAAAAAGCTGCGGATTGCTTTCAAGCAGCGTTAGCGGTGCGTCCCGAGGTAAATGCAATCTCTTCCTTCCAGGGGTATTACTATTCCGTTCCCACGTACCGACAGTTGTCGAATCGGTAGGCATCGTTGCACAGTTTTCCCACGATATAAAAGCGCAACAACGCTTACCGATTCGATAACTGTCGGAACCACGGTAACGAAATAGCAGCCCTGTAAAGAAAGTTTTGTATTAATGACTTAAATTGAATATGTATTTCCGAAAGGATCCTGGATTGTGGAATAGATGGGGCGCTACTCTGGCTAATGGGCAACGATCGGCAGAAGCTATAGATGCGTATCGACGTGCCTTAGAATTATCGCCTGGATTCATCAGAGCACGTTACAACCTCGGCATATCTTGCATTAATCTTGGAGCACATGCGTGAGTGTATGAATTTCTATATTTCTTATGTTGGAATAAAAATAATCATATTTAATAATTAATAAAATTATGTTACAGACAAGCAGCTGAACATCTTCTGATAGCCTTAAATCAGCAAGCCTCAGGAAGAGACACAGAAGGTAAACCTGTAGCTTCTGAAGTAAATATGTCAAGAACGATATGGTCAACTTTAAGATTAGTAATAGCATTAATGGACAAAGTTCATTTGATGGAATCTGTAGATAATAGGTAACATTTTATGTTATCTTTCACCTTAATATAAATTGAAATGTATGCGTGAAAACTAAAATACATACACTTTCTTTTTCAGAGATTTACAAAAATTAAATAAGGAATTTGAAATTGTATGGAATCCACACACATAAATGCATTTATAAGTTTACATGGTAATATGCAAATACTTTAGGTATAGATAATCTGGAAAAGAAATAATCGTATTTTTTGCCATAAATACGGGTAGAATATATGGATGGTTAATGGCGCGCGAATTCTGACATATTTTATATATATTTCCAACATGTTAATTAAATCTGTAAAAATGTATTGGGTTGGCCAATAATTCTTGTGCAGTTTTTTATCTGCAAATGAAAGATGATGTTTTATAGAATACAATAATTAGTCAATAATGTATTGATCATTATGTGATCCTCTATTTTTTGCCATCTCTCTGGCAGTTTTATAATTCCTCATTCAAAGGACATTCTATTTTCTCGGTGAAAAACTATCAAGTGTTGTTTGATAGCTTTCTTAGAAGTGAAGGAAGTCCATTCAAGGAAACAAGTGATAATTTGAAGGGGTAAGGTCTGATGAATATGAAGGATATGGTAAGACATTCCAGCCCAACTCCAGTCATTTTTACCAGATTCGCAAAGTTATGTATGGCTTGGTATTGTGGTGAAAGAGAGCGTTTTTGCGATTCAATAATTCTGGACGTTTCTCATGGATAACTGCGTTTAATTTATCCAGTTGATCACACAATACACATTTAAATTGATCGTTCTATTCTTTGGAAAAAGTTTGTAAAACAACACTTTTCTAATCTCACCAAATTGAAAACATGACCTTACTCAGGTAAGGCTCTGCTTTCAAAGTGCTTTTTGGCGTTTTGTCGCATTGCCTTCATGATCTTTTGCGCTTGATATTGTAGACTATCAATTTTTTATCGCTCATCACTATTCACTTCAGAAATAGATCGCTTTTCTCATTTTTTTCTGAGTAGATCGCGGGTAAATCGCGGAAATAGATTAACTTCACTGAATTCGTGTGGCTCAATTGAGCCGGCTGACGTAATCAAATTGATGCAGATGGTTTTTTACGCTCGATTTCTGCTAAAAATACTAGTTTTAGTTATCCATCTTTTAAATAACGTTAAACATTAACGCGTACATTAACAATTAACATTAAACACAAACCAACCATCTTCGTACAGTTTGTTTTTAAATATACGTTGAAATGTCATCTGTCAATGGCCGCGTTCAGTAGAACAAGTGATCAGTAAGCGCTCAGGGAGCTCTTGTATATGATTTGGCATATTCTTTTAGATCTCCAACTATACTCCAATCAGATGCAAGAGCTCACTGAGCGCTTACTGATCACTTGTTCTACTGAACGCGGCCAATGGCTGCATCCAGTACTACAATTGCTCACTGAGCGCTCAGTGAGCTCTTAGCATCTGATTGAAATTGTAACGATCCTTCCACGATAGAAAGAACGAACGAACCACGAACGAACCACGAGCGTTAAACCGACTATCCTAAACGGCTCGTTACGAAAACAAAACCCGCGACAAACAGATGTAAACACCGCCGACCGACCGCGAATATCACAACATTATATCAGACTAAAATGAATATAAAAGACAGCGCGAAAACCTCAGAAGAGAGCAGTCTTCCGAGGCACTCCGCTGAGCAAAGCTAAGACTCTGACAGCAGCAGCTCCTCGCGAACACCGCTATCTAGAACATCGCATCTTAGACCGTCCTCGTTACCACTCCGTCGACTTATTGGATTCGTAAAGTCGACATTCCTCGATACCGCTCCGTCGACTTATTGGATTAGTAAAGTCGACATCCGCGTAGACTTATTGGATTCGTAAAGTCTACATCCTCGACTACCGTCCCGTCGACTTATTGGATTCGTAAAGTCGACCTCCGCGTAGACTTATTGGATTCGTAAAGTCTACATCCTCGAGTACCGCTCCATCGACTTATTGGATTCGTAAAGTCGACATTCCTCGATACCGCTCCGTCGACTTATTGGATTCGTAGAGTCGACATCCGCGTAGACTTGTTGGATTCGTAAAGTCTATATCCTGATTACCGCTCCGTCGACTCGTCGAATTCCTAGAGCCGACATCTGTGTCGATTCGCCAAATTCGTAAAGTCGACAGCGATATAGATTATCGGACACGTAAAGTCCACATCGTTGTTACTGCTCCGTCTCATACAGAGCGTCGATATCCGTGAAACTGCGCTGTCACCCCGGAGAACTAATCTCCGTGGCACACCGTTACAGCGCTCGACCGCGGGTGTATATCAGCTGGACACGGGGCAATTGGACACAGTCCAATCACAAGTCGCTGTTCCAAGGGACCCTACAAATGTCTCTAATCACATGGTGCTGTGATTGGCTGTGTCCAAATGCACCGTGTCCAAGTGCACCGCTCCCCTCGACCGCTCTACCAAACTCCGACGCATCCCGGCTCGCTGTCGCGTAAAGGGACGTCTACATTGGAAGTAAACAGTAAGAAGTAGGAAGTAAAAATAAGAAATTGACCAATCATAGTTGATTATTCTTCTCACATTCAACTGTGGTTGGTCAATTTCTTACTCTTACTTCCTACTTCTTGCTATTTACTTCCAATGTAGACGTCCCTTTATGCATTCGAAGCCGTATTTACTCCTCGAGTAACGGATCTCGGCGCGCGACCGAAATTAAAGATCCAAGCGTCAACATCTTGCCGCAAGCGCGAGACAATCGACGCGTCATAGTACCGCCCGCGTCCCGCAGTAAGAAATTGACCAACCACAGTCGAATGTGAGAAGAATAATCAACTATGATTGGTCAATTTCTTATTCTTACTTTCTACTTCTTACTGCTTACTTCCAATGTAGACGTCCCTTTACCGCGTCCTGTGTGCAGGAGCCATGAGTCTGGAGCTAGTGCAAGCAGTGCAGTGCAGTGCAAAGGTAAAAGTTACTGTACCAGTGCAAGTAGTTCAGGTGAAAAGAACAGATCTATGAAGATGGAAGAGATGAATATTGCAGAAATTAAAAGGAATGAATGTGGCAATATCCCAGATAGGTTCTACGGGAAATTGAGATACATACATTAATGCAAGTACAGTAAATTCTTCATCTGAAGAATTATTTGCATCTAAAATTATATGTTGCGCCATGTTATTTCCTGCACTATGGCGTTCTTTTCCATCCTATCTGGCATGTCTGAACCTATGAACTTTTGCTGTACTCGCCAGTTCCAATTCCGAAGCAGTGCAGTTCTAGTGCAGCACTAGTTCAATTGAAAAGAACAAACCTAATAATACAGGTTGTTATGATATTGTTTATACCAAATAATGATAATGATTTTAAGTAGTTGTAATAGACAAATCATTATACATAATTTATATAAAAATGATTAGGCTAAATATAATAAAGTTCAATTAGTCCTGATGTTAAAATCTATTTGCAGAATATGTATTAAGTATTTTTTTAATTGCAGATACTGTTATCAATATTAACAATAAGAAAATCAATAAACAAATGGATACATCAAGTTCGGAAGACGAAATATCCACGAATGCTCTTAAGGAAGCAGTTGATCAACAATTTTTAAGTGACAATCTTTATAACACAGAAAAACCCCAATTAATATCTCTCTCTAGTAAGTAAATTCAACTTTGTACTATTTTTTAAATTTACATATAATCCTAAGTGCTTCAAAGAAAGTAAAACGAAAAATTATTTTGTGATATTTGAGTAATCAAAAGCTATAATCTTTAAAATGTTATTTATCTAAGTTTGGTTCAAACATATTCATACAAAAAGAAACTCAGTAAATATATGTAGCTTGTCTACAATTCCTATTAAAATGTAATAAATTTTGTTAACATTCAAACTTATATGAGTGAGATGTAATATTAATATGAAATATAGATATATATGTATTGGTTGTCTTCTCTATATTAATTTTATAATTAGTAATTATTTTTTTATGGTTTTAGAAGAACAGGGAATCAATAAATCAAAGTCCTTGAGAACAAACTTGAAACAGGAGGACCAGTTTGCAAATTTTAATGTGACTACTACATTCCAGAATTTTGTCGCCAAGAAGCTAGATGAAATGTTAGATAAGTATGTGATAAGGTTTATCTTAATAATCTAAGATAATAAGATAAATATCTTCAACATTTATCATTTTCTAAATAACTTTTTTCAGAGTTATTATTTTAAAACAGCACAAGTCTACTGATTGCGTAGAACAACAAAAGAGGAACAAAAAATCAGGAATAAAGCTTTTAAGTTCATCGAAAAATTTTCTATGTATCACAGAAGTGCATACAGCTAATGAAAAAAAATCTAAGAAGCACAAAAGATGCCATGAACTTGTAGAAGACGATGATGCAATATCGAAATTCCGGGAGGCTGCTGTCGATCCAGAATATATATTAAGTAAATTAGATACAAAAGCTTGGACCAGTAAGCGACCGGAACCAGAATTTAAATATAAGAAATTAAAAAATGGCACTCTAATTGAACAACCATAGGATATATTTTCTACACTTACAATTATTTTGCATATGTAAATTAATATAATATATTTATGTGTATATATGTATGATGAGTATGTATATATATACACGAGGTGTAAAATTGAAAATGTTAAAGGTTATTGGTTTTAAAATTAAGAAAAATATAAAATATTTGTTTTCTATTAATCATTTAATATTGGAAGTAACATTAAAATTGATGAAGTTAGTTTTTTGAGATGTAGAGTTATTAAAATAAATTCAAGAACATTTTGATTGTTTAACTATCAACATAATAACTTGTAACATCTTTAATTTTACACAGTGTATATATATATATATATATATATATATGTATTCAAAGATGGAATTACTTTGTGAAAATTGTAAATTTGTAACAAAAGCTTGTAAGCTTTTTTTTACTGAAATTCCAGACTATTGCGTAAATATGCAATAACTATATGTATAAATATTTAACCACATATATATGCACCATTTTGTCCTACTACCATTTATTATCTTTGTGGTAGTCTTATGATTCCATCCCTTGAGAACTTTTCATCTTTGGTAATAAATTGCTCAAAGTGATTTTTATAGTCCTCCAAAGAAGTGAAGTTTTTACTTTTAAGCGAATTCTGTAAGAACGAATAAGTGATCGAAGGGATAAATTTGAAAGTGCTATATTAAATGAATGTGGCAGATGTAATAAAACATTTTATTTGAACCGCGATAAAAAAAGATATTCGAGGAAGAAATATTGGGTAGCACCTATTTTCCAAGATAGAAAAGGGCATGGATTTTTTCATGCTGTGCTACCTAAACTTCTTCTAGAAGACTTAAGATTTCATAATTATATACGCATATCTGCAAGTCAATTTGAAAATTTAATATTTATAGTTAGAGCAGACATATTTAAGCATTATTATATTAGAGAACTTATAGATGTGTTGGGAGCGTCCCGATTACCTACAGTACGATTGCACACAAACCAATCGATGATAAGAATTATCTAGTTAATTATCAGATCGTACCAATCATTACAATTTGTGGTCAATCGTACTGTCGGCAATCGGGACCCTCCCGATATTGTTGAGATGTCAACAGTGATTGAGCGAGTTTTTAATTCATCGATAGATCCATCGATGAATTAAAAAACTCGATCATTATCTTAGCGAATATTCGCTAAAAGCTAAAAAATTTCAGCGAACAGCGATTACTCGCTAGCGAATAGCGAATGACCACGTGACCTTCAATCGCAGCGATTTATTCGCTACATGAATTTGCACTTAGAGAGAGAGAGAGATGCAGTAGCTAAAGTACTATTCACAAGAGATTTGTTCGCGTTGCTTGGACTTTTGACACTTTTGCACTTAATGCCTGTTGCACACCAAACGTGATGAATGAAATCCAATGAGAGTTCTTTTTTCGAAGAGAGGTTCAGTCGGGCGTTAGGTGTAAAAGTGTAGAAATTGCAGGCAACGCAACAAACCTAAGCAGTTCATTCGATTCAAAAGTGGTAATTTTAACCTCGAAAAATAAACACACTCAGGCAAGCCTTCGGTTGTTAATAATAACCGAATTGCAACGCAATTAAAAATAATTCATACTACTATAAAGAGCATAAACTTAAGACGTAATAGTTTAAACATAGAGATTAAAATTTTCTTGTCACAACAGGTGACAACAGTCACAAACAGGTTTGTGTATTTTTTGTCACAACAGGATATCATTAAGACATTTAAAGTGATGGAATGTCCAAGCACAAGTTCAACTATTAATATTTGTGAATTGTAAGTAGAGTTCTGTGCATATATTTAACTGAATTATAATCTGTAAAGTGTGATTTAGGTTATGTTCCATTCAAATTTCAAGTATAATTTTGCTACTACTATATTTAAATTGCATATTCATATTACAAATCTTAGAATTTATTTCTTATTTAACAACGTATGTTTTAAATTTGTTAATTAAAATAAATTTTTAGATGTAACAAACATGTGCGTTTGTATACTTGTCCACGTTGTGGCATAGGCTACTGTGGAATCCAATGTTACAAATCAAATGCTCATACAGATTGCTCTGAGAGTTTTTACAAACAGTGTGTCGAGGATGAGCTAAAATCTCAAGAAAATGATCCTGCTGTTAGGCAGAAGATGGAAGAGATCCTTAAGAGAGTATATGAGGAGGATTTGGAAGATGATATTTTAGGGGAGAATATTGATGAAGATTCTCCTTTAGATTCGGACGATGAGCAGGAAGTAAATAAGACTGATATCTTTAAGAATTAAAAATGCATTATTTATTGTGTATCAAGTATACACATTTATGATATTTATTATGTATCATCGGGTATACACATATTTATCCTTGGATATATTTTACAGCTTCCTGATTTAGAAGTCAGATTACAGAATGTTAATCTTGATGATCCTAATGAGCTGTGGTCAGCTTTATCTAATACTGAGAGGCAAGAGTTTGAAGCACTTATGAAGAATGGAGAAGCAGAAAAATTATTGCCCAAGTGGACCCCATGGTGGACTCAATGTGTGAAAAAGAAATTAATTCAATCCATTGACGAAGATACTACAAATGCTTATAGTGACTTGAAGTATCCTGTTCTAATAGATGTATCATTATTTAATGAACTTCAGGTAAAGTTTGATGATACAAATGAGTAAATGCACTTAGGGCTGATTGTTCCAACTTCTTGGTAAGCTACCTGACAGTTGTATCATATGTCTTTTTGTTTTTTTAAAATCGGACAGAGATAGACATGATTTAACTGTCAGGCAACTTACCAAGAAGTTGGAACAATTGGCCCTTAGAATGATGAAATTTTATTAAGTAAACTATTATTTGTTTTTAGAAAGCATCTCCCTGTGTATATTTTAATATGATAAATGTGATATATGCCTATGCATATGTAGCTCTTTATTACAATGGAGATTATCTTGATTGTGCTGACGATGCTGCCAATATCTTTTTAACTATATGTATGAACATGAAGGAGAATAAGGTGTTTAACGATGCAGAATCAGCAATTCAATCAATTATAGAAAATGTTACAAGCGTAAGTTTATACATATTATGTTGCTTACAATAACATATGTTACACATAACAAAATATGTAAATATATATATATATTAATATTATAATTACTAATAAACTTGTAGATTGACTGGTTACCACGAGATAATCAAACATTAACAGCGTTAAGAGAAGCTGGAGCTTCCATCTTGCAAGGGCCAGCTCCTGAAGTGAAAACTGTTTACACATCTGCAGCTCTTTCAGAATTGCATAGATTATTAACAGCAGCCAAGAAAGAAATTTCAACCCCTAAAGATACAACCAACAATCAAGAATTTACAAGAAAATTTGTGCAAAAATTCAATCTTGACGTAACTTTGTCAAAGAAAACTATACTTCTATGTTTAAAAAAATTAGAGTACTATTTATCATGGGTGAAAAGCCATGAGGCAGAACTACAAAGTATTGTTTGTTATTAAAAACTAAAAGTAGGAAAATATGTCTAGATATCATTCATAGGTTTTATAATCTGTAAATATTTTTTCTTACTATTAAGTATATTCTCCATTAACCCTTACTGTGTAACGTCTTTTCTGGCATCTTAAACGTGTATCTCGTGTCCGATGCTTAAAAAAGTACATTAAAGTGTTCTAAAAAATCTGAAAAAATTTATGTTACCTTATTAACCATCCTACTTTAAGGATCAATCGATATATTCCTGATTTTTTCATTTGTTTAAACAATTATTTATATAAACAAATAAAAACGTGAAAAATATTTTTTTTTCAAAAAATCGTAACTTTGTCAAAAATTAATGCATTTTAAAAATTCGAACGGGAAATTAAAGCTTAAAAATAGGGGAGCGGTGCACTTGGACACGGTGCATTTGGACACAGCCAATCACAGCACCGTGTGATTAGAGACATTTGTAGGGTCCCTTGGAACAGCGACTTGTGATTGGACTGTGTCCAATTGCCCCGTGTCCAACTGATATACACCCTTGGTAAACTACCTGACAATTAAATCATACGTCTGTCTTCGTTTTTTTCTTCAAATTGGACAGAAACAGACACATGATTTATCTGTAAAACTTACCAAGAGGTTGGAACAATCGGCCCTAAATAATGTCTTAAGATGCGAATACGGCTCTGTGATTGGTTCATGACATCTTAAGACAGTACTTAAGATGATCTTAAATAAAGATCGGATATGATTACCGGCCTAAGATTTTGAAATCTAGCCCAGGATTGGTTAATTTTTAGTGCATATTCTTATGCATACACCACTCCGTGGCCTGTACAAGGCTAGGTATTTTTCTCGTGACTTAGGAACACATTTTAGCAGACAACGATAACGATCGATAACAATTGCGAGTGACATGACGTAGCAGCGGTCAGTGGGGAAAAATGATGGCGGACGAGAAGTTGTTCTTCTCGAATGCTGTCCAACAATTGGCCAGATGTCTAGCCGCTATCAAGCCTACGCCATGGGAGAAAGTAAGCTATCATTTTTCAGAACGATCTTTCAAATTGAGCATTATTTTCTCGACGATCCCTCGACGGTTGTCACTTTATATCGATGCTGATTTTGCGTATTGGGATTAAACCTAGGAAACGTCAGCTGTTATCTTGACCTGTCATGTTATGATATAATCCAAAGGGCACTATGACACTTCCAGATTTATCATTGTATGATTATATAATTATCCTTGACACATATTAATTAACACCAGTGTCACATAAAGAATTCTCAACTCACTACATCATAACTGCTTGAAGGAGAATCTAGGAAAACAGGAATTACATGTTTTGTATCTTATAGTGCAGAAATATAATATTTGAGAATTTACATTCAGTGATATTGAATTTGCATAATAAAGAAAAAAAGTTATTTTCAAAATATTGCAATATATTATAAAACTTTCTAGAACTCTATTCTTTCCTTGCAGTTGTAACATGACTATAAAAGAGATTGACATATAATTAGACTATATATGAGGCTAATATAAAATTTTCACCAACATGAAACTAATGACTTTTCATATTTGATTGCAGGTAGTCAAATTGTACAAGTTATGTCCACAAGACTCAGCTCAGGGTGTGTACCGTCTGGACCAAAGAGGCCAGGATGCAACTATTGCATTAGGGATTTATTTTCTGGAGTCTGGCCTACAACACAGAGATCGAATTTTGCCCTATCTATTGAGATTATTACGTGGTCTTCCAAAAGCAGTCTGGAGGGATGAGGTGAGATGTTCACTTACCGAGAGAGTTCCAGTTGCGGAGCGCTTCAGCTTCTGCTTAAATACACTATTAAGCGATGTGGCAGCCAGGTGCGAGCCAGCACGAGAAGAGATCATCTCGACACAAGTTGAGATACTCGCAGTTCTGACCAATCTCATACGTGGATACAAGGATCAGAACAGTAATAGAGGTTTGCAGGCAAAGAGTAAGTACCAACAGAAATGATCTTGTAATTGTTCATATATTTTGATCCTTTTTATAATAATATAGAACTGTGGATAAAAGGAAAAGATATAATTTTATTTTAAAAAATGAAAGGGATCTATAGATTAAAAAAAAGAACGTTTTCGAGAATTTTATTGCGATTTAAAAATTAATTGTATCTAAAACTATTTTCTGTCCAATCAGTGTAACTAGTACAAAAATATAGTGGATATCATTACAGTTAACATTCTTATATATAATAAGAACTATAAGAAACTACAATTTTTTTTTTAATAAAATGACACTCAAGTAATAATTTTCTGAACTGTTTGTCACAGCTTATATTTGACTTACAATCTGTTCCTAATACTATATCTGTTTTCAGTATCATTATGCAAATGTCTGGTCCCAGTACTGATTGGATTGGCACGCTCGATGGGTCGTTTCGCATGTACGGATCCACCGTTACTTTGTCGTATCTTTCCACGACGGGAAACTCCGTCGCCAGCAACCAATACGGAGAGCCGTTCAATGCCCGACAAGAAGCAGCACAGCTTTTCAAACTTTAGGCCGATCATCCCGCGTTCGCTGAGCGGCAATTTTAATTCTTGTATCGACAATACGTCCCAGCTGCTGTCGGTTTACGACAACCACGACTACCATTGCGGCAAGAGGCCGTCGTTGCAATCTTCCCTGTCTGTACCGTACGATCCGACGACGTACTTCTTCAGTCGCTATGGATCGAGTTTCAATCAGTTCCCGCAGATGCGCTGTAACGAGAGTCCTGAGAGAAGAGCCGGTATGCAATTTACCGTAGTGCACCTGCAGAGTGTGTTAGCTTTAGCCAAAAAGTTACTCACTAAGGAGATTCTGACGTTTTTAGACGAAGAAGCGCAGCAAGTAAGTTTCGTCGCATCAATTAGTTCCGTTATTTATTCTCTGCTTGAAAATTCATCATCCTAATGTAATTATTGCAGGTTTACAGCTCTGGTCAAGTGCATATCTTTCCATATCGTACATTTAGTGAGACGATGAATTTGGTGATGGTGGCATTGTTACGCGAGTTGCTGCAAAATCAACGCGACTTACCGGCTCCGTTCACAAGGGACGTGCAGGAATTCGTCAAGGGTCTGTTTCTGTCGGGTCAAACAGAGCTGCAGTCGCGGCAGCATGACGCGAGCGAGCGCGAAGACATCGATACGAATTTCCGAACCGTGAATCGCTTCAAAGTGAACGTCATGGCTAACTCTGCGTGCGTTGACCTGCTGGTTTGGGCAATCGGTGATGAAACAGGTGAGCCCATCTGTTCATTGACGAGAAAATAAGAAAACGAAAAGAATCGCTAGCTATTTTCTACTAAAATTATAGATATCGTACTTTTGTAAGAGTAATAATGTGTATATTGTGGAGAAGTTTCGCGAATGTACTCGTAACTCTAAGTGCATGGTTAACGAAAAATTGATGTTTTCATCGACCGCGCTTAGGCACAGGTTGTAAAGCTATCACGTTATTTTTCCAGTATCCGGAGAATATGATTTGTCTGCGCTGTTTGCAGATATCAGTTCAATGCTGATCGGCAAGGGTATGCCGATTTTCCCGTGTGTTACTTTTACCTGTGTGTTGCTCTCTTGTTAACCTATTCATTTCCAGTAACTGCTAATAGAAATGTTGCCTTGCTTATCGCTGACCGTTCATTCTTGCAATGTGTTTGATTGATTTTAAGGGTTGACAAAACAAATAAACTATTAATCTAAAACTTTAACTTAACTCATTGTCAATAGTAATTATTAATCTTTTACTAACTTAAATCTTCTATTATTAATCTTACGATTTACATATTTTATTCTAAAGAAACCTGGAAATTATATAATTATTACATTAATATAATTGTTGTATATAATTGTTATATAAATCTTTCTTATTGATATTTTTTTGATATTTTTTACACCTTAATTTATAACAATTATTATATGAGACATTTATTTAACGTGACATAAGTTTATTTATCGATCAAAGGATTATACATTCATGGTTTAATCTGTATAAATTTACAGATCCGAAAAAAATAATTGTCGTGTTTAAATAACAACCTATAACATCACTACACTACGATTTATATATTCGAATACTTACGTATCTGTTGCATCTGTTAATTGTTTATATATTGGTTTTTAGGTGCGGACAGTTTGTGCGGACGTCTTGTCGAGAAAATTAATTCCAATCATGGACCCAAGTTGGTGCTTGCACACATGCCGTTACTCATGGTTTGTCTCGAGGGATTGGGAAAATTAGCGCAGAAGTTTCCCAACATAGCAAGCACATCGATATACTATCTGCGAGATTTTCTCGTTGTGCCGTCGCCAATACTTCTGAAATTACATCAGCAGCACAGCGAACGTACCATGAAAGAGCATCAGTTCAAAGTACTCGGTAAACTCCATCATTTTTTTAAACGTATCATATATTATTTAATATTATTTATAAAATGATCATTTAACACACATGTGCTAACTGTATACGCATTTGAATAGTTCAAGGAAAGGAAATCAGCGATACGAAGCAGACGACGTCATCGGTGCAGACAGCGTTTGAGAAACTTCGCGACGCAGCTATTGGCAATCTCTGCATTGCCTTGGAAGCTGCACACTCGGTGAATCCGGATTGCGTGCCAGCGCTCGTAGCAAGTGTCTCCAACAGATTATTCACCGCGGATATATGCGACAGGTATGTTCCAACGAAAAGCATTACATGCGTGTGTGAATTGAAATTTCCTGTCGGTTTCAGCGAGGGCGATGAGAAGTCGAACAGCGAAGTTATTTCAAAGAACATCGTGATCATGTTAGGTCATGTAGCTGTTGCGCTGAAAAACACGCCGAAAACTATGCGCACGATCTTTCCATTTTTCCAGCAGCTCTTCTGCCGTACTCCCAGCGACCTGGACTTTCTCATAGTAGATCAATTAGGTTGCATGATCATCGCCAAATGTGAGCCAAAGGTCGGTAATATCTGAGTCGCTTACAACGCTTACACGATGTTTCACGCAATCGCTGACAAGCTTTTTATTGCGCAGATTTATGAGGGGATAATGCAAATGTTCTCCATGTCGTTGGGTTCGAGTACGGCTACATACGCTGCAAATGACGACCGCAAGCAATATTGTCACGTCTCCAAAGCAGTTACGAATGCGTTGGCGAACATAGCGGCGAATTTGCAAGGCGAGTCTGAACTAGACGATTTGCTGTTGCATCTTCTAGAATTGTTCGTGCAGTTAGGACTCGAGGGTAAACGCGCCAGCGATAAGATGCCAAACAGTATCGCTGCGACGGTAAGATCACCTTACGATGCAACTCTCTTTTGCTGTCTAAAACCTAACGCGGAAAGTAACTATGAAAGAAATATCATTTTGTGCGATGCGTTTGTGTGTGGAATAGAAAGCAGCGAGCAGTGCCGGAAATTTGGGAGTACTTATTCCCGTCATCGCCATACTGGTGCGACGTCTACCGCCGATCAGACATCCGCAAAAGCGACTTTTGAAGTTGTTTAAGGATTTTTGGTTGTATTGCGTTATAATGGGTTTCGCTGCCGATCATCCGTCGAGATTGTGGCCTTCTGAATGGTATGAAGGCGTCAAAGAGATTGCCGTCAAATCACCCTACCTCATCTCCCAGACCAGTGCTCGCCTTGAGATGCGAGAATTGCAGTATACGTCAGCGGTGCGCAACGACAGTGTCTCTTTGAATGAATTGCAGGAGCTGCGCAGTCAAGTATTAAAAATCAGTACCCGGTACGAGCATTGTTTTTCATATTTAGTTTCGATTAATCTCTATACTAATTGTCCAAAAGACATCTTATATTCGCTTACATACATATTTTGTATATATCAGAATCAGAACATAAAATATATCTTACTTTCTAATTACGAGAAAAATCGTCAACGTTGTGTTTCTGTGTCAAAATGTATAATTTTACTTCAACTTTGTATAAAATCTATTAAAATTTTTTTTGTTCTTTCAGTACAAACGATATATCAGCTTACGTGACTAAGCTGCAATTTGCGCAGTGCACCTATCTGTTGTCCGTCTACTGGTCAGAAACATTGCGGGTGGCTAACAGTCCTGAGCCCAGTTTACAGCCGATAATGGAGTACTTGTGTGACACGGACCTTCAGAAAGATAAGAGTGGTATGTGGCAATGCATTTGCTGTGTAGCGGACTCGGTCTTCGCGAAGTTCAAGGATGTGATGCAGCGTAAACCGAAGGACGAACAACGCGAGCGGGAACTCGAGAATCATGCGCAGTTTCTGCTGGTGCGTTTCAATCACGTGCACAAGCAGATTAGACGAGTGGCCGACAAGTACCTCAGTGGTTTGGTAGACGCTTTCCCACATCTGTTGTGGAACTGTAAAGTTCTTTGGAGTATGTTGGATATATTACAGGTATATTATACTTATTTTATCTTATAGGTATTATTACAAGTATATTATACTATATTTTATCTTATACTTTATACGCCCGGTGTCTCGATTTAATCGAGTGCTTGTCCTGGCATGTCACTTCTTTGATAGTTTATCAAACTAATTTTTATATATTTGCATGTTGCAGATTTTATCGTATTCTTTACAACTTGATCCGAACGAGGAGAGTCCCAGTTTAAGGATACCTAGCACACCGTATAGCATTGAACTAATGAATACCATTGAAGCAAGAGAGGTATGAATTGTTTGGTTATATTTTATATTCCTCAAAAAAGAGAAATCAGAATAAGGGCCGACAAATGTCTATTTTCGAAGCGTTTCTGCTGTCATTCGGGTTTTCCCCTTAAAATAGAGATATGTTCTACGATAACACATCGTTTTAATTGCAGATTATCGTGAAGGATTTCACTGCGAGATGTAAAGGCATAGTACAGGAGGCTATGAAATGGGCGCCGCAAGCTACTAGATCGCATTTACAAGAATACATCAACCAAATACCATCTTCTGGAATGTGGCATCACTCTGGCTTATCGTTGGCCATCGATTCAGTCCTCGAATTTGTGGACACTGCAATTCCCACAGTGGCACCAGCAAACGTATGTAGCGACTTTTAAGTATATTACACATATCCCAGCTTTAAATTCTAAGATCTATTAATAATCTTTTTTTTGGTCTTTTTTTATTCAATGAAAACTACTCGTTGATTGAATTAATGCAGCAATGTATTTTACAGACGAATTCTTTGGATAAAAGACCACGCGGTCCTAAAGGCGCGAGCTCATGGCTTCTGTCAATGATGTCTACAAGATCATGGCATGCTGGCGAAGTAGCGGGCATGCTCGCTCTCGCGCGTACCGAGTCACCGACGACAGAGATGTCGCTTGAAGAAAGCAGAGACAAAGTTGTCGACAGATTGATCGAGGCTGTTCGTCGCGCTTGTCAGGATTGCAACGATGCCGCTCATCGTGGAGCTCTTTGGCGCGCTACTGCTCTGTTAATATCTATGCCTGGTATGTATGAATTTTTATCAAGACAGTAATCTTAAGTTTTGTCTTTTATATCGAATATGGTAGATTGATTCGTTTGCTCAATCTACATTGTAATTAGAGAGACGTTATTGTGCAATGAAATATAAATTTAAAATATTGATGAAACAAAAAATCAATAAGGTTGGTTGAAATTGAATAAGATTACTTACACAACGAAAATGTAATTGCCGAACTGTTGAGGCTTCATACTACACAGATCTCATTAATGTTTTATTTGTACTTGCAGGGATACATAGGCGACTGTTACATACGGTGGCATGTTCGCAAATAGAATTATTCACGACTGCGGTCATGACCACGGCAGTTGAGTGCTGGCAGTGGATCCTCACCGTACGGCCTGACTTGAAGTTGCGTTTCCTGCAGGAGATGTTGCTCGCTTGGCAGTACACCGTCGATAAGCGAATGGGTCTGTTCGCCCCGAACGAAGAGGAGGTCAGCCCTCTCGCTGTCTACGAGGGTTGCAAGTTGGGCCCGAATCCGCCTCACATAAAGCCGCACGACATCTGGGTGACGTTCGTTGTGGAGCTCATAGAGACAGCCAAGTATTGTTGTCAGGAGACTGTCGATATGATCGCCATGTTGTTGCACCGTTCGTTACCCATGACCGTCGGCGCGTCGGGTGAGGAACCTGGAATTAATCGACACGTCGCCGCGGTCGGCGTGCGCTTCAAGCTGCTCTCATGTGGCTTGGTGTTACTGCAGGGTGACGTTCTGCCGAGGTAATAAGTCTCGTTTTTCTATCGTAAATAACCCAGAACAATGAATAAGATCAAAATTAACGGAACACGCTTTTATAGGACGTTGAGCAAGAATGTCTTGCGAGAACGCGTGTATTCCAATTGCTTGGATTACTTCTGCCGGGAACGTCAGTTGCCGACTCAAGAGATCGACCAGCTGGGTGAGGATATAGTTACGCTGATACGATTTTGGCAGGTAAAGTGGACTGCATCGCTTCATAAGTTGAACTTTTGTGTAAAATTAATTTATACATTTTATGGTCATTCGTTTGTATTTTTATGACAAAGTCACTCAATACTAATATCTGTTCACTATATTCATCACATAACTGTTCCAATTATCTTCTATATTTTTGATAGGTGATGCATAGCGACAAGAAGTACTTAATGATGACAGGAGCGGATAACGAGTTTGAGATAGTGACTTCCCAAAGTTGTACAACGGCGATGATCGTCCCTAGTGAAACGATTGGCTCATTAGCTCCGACGCCGAACGAGTATTCCAAGTCGTCCAGCAACGTGTGGATGAACACCATGCCGATGTCGACTAGCAGTAATACATTAGATAAACGCAGCAATCGCAGCAAACGGGTCGTAAACGCCAGTGTTTTTGTGAAAGATTACATAAAGAAGAGAAATTTGATCCTCGAATTGTTGGCGGTTGAGATTGAGATGTTACTGGTGAGTATCTGATAAATTATATATGCATAGAAAAATTATCCTATCGTCGTCTGAGGAAAATCTATCTCTGATCGTCGCAATCGCGTTAAGGTTTGGCGTAATCCCGGCGGTAGACCAGAACTCGCACTGCAAGGGGAAGGAAGTATCGCGGACTGGCGCGCCAAAGCGATGAATGACCGTTGGCGTGAGTACACGCGACTTGCGTGGGAAATCAGTCCTGTCTTGGCGATATTCTTGCCAGTGCGATTAAAGAACTCCGAGGTTATTATCAAGGAGATTTGCGGCTTGGTGCGCCTTAAACCCGTGCCTGTAATGCATGTATCGGAAGCATTACAGTATCTCGTCACGACGGATACTCTACTCAACGATGTACCTGAAGTAAGACGTCGTCATCAGTCAGATAACAATACTTGTATATCAGTTAGCGCTAGAACGATGATCAAATTTACGTTAGGACGTTAATTCATAATTTTTGTAAAATTATTAATTAAAATTTCAGTTAGTTTATATGTTGATATGGGCAAGAGTGTCTCCGATTCAAGCGCTGGCATACTTTTCACGACAATTCCCACATCATCCTATCTCGGCGCAATATGCGGTACAAGTGTTGGACAGTTATCCCGCCGACGCTGTACTCTTCTATATACCTCAATTAGTTCAAGCCGTCCGTCACGATACCATGGGTTACGTCATTGAATTTATCAAGAAGATTGCTAAACGGTCGCAGGTATAGTAAGATTTACAGTTAAAGTGAAGTTAAGATTTATAGTATAGTTATATAATAAGATTTTTACAGTTATATAATAAGATTTTTAAGATACAATAAAGCTGAATGGAATATTAAATTCTTCTAATTTTCTTTTAGGTAGTGGCGCATCAACTGATCTGGAATATGCATACAAATATGTACATGGACGATGAGAAGCAAGTCCGAGATCCCCTATTGTACGACATTCTGGATTCATTGTCGAAAAATATTCTGAATGCACTGTCCGGCCCGGCGAAACAGTTTTACGATAGGGAATTCGATTTCTTTGACAAGATCACCAATATCTCAGGTGAAATCCGACCGTATCCCAAAGGGCCGGAACGCAAGGCTGCATGCTTGGAAGCTTTGGCGAGAGTGAAAGTACAGCCCGGTTGTTATTTACCGTCGAACCCTGAGGCAATGGTCATCGACATAGATTACAAGAGCGGTACACCCATGCAGAGGTATGTGTCTTAAATGGACAATTTAACAACGTAACTACTTATTGATAAGTGGTTATATGATGAAGTATCACTATTTTATATCTTCAGCGCTGCTAAGGCGCCTTTCCTAGCACGCTTCAAGGTGCAAAGATACGGCATAAACGAACTGGAGAATATCGCGCTAGCGGTGTCTACCAACGGAAAGGTTGAAAGCAAGAGGGAAGCAGACGAACAGACTTGGCAGGCTGCTATCTTTAAGGTCGGCGACGATGTCAGACAAGATATGCTAGCTCTGCAAGTGATCAGCATTTTCAAGAACGTTTTCCAAAAGGTCGGACTAAATCTGTTCCTGTTTCCATATAGAGTTGTGGCCACAGCACCTGGGGTGAGACATTTATCTTTAATAAGCACCTTCTAATGAATACCGTCAATGAATTGTCACTCAATTATATCCGTGTGTTGTCTAGTGCGGCGTGATAGAGTGTGTACCACACGCGACATCAAGAGATCAGCTCGGCCGTACTACCGACAGTGATATGTACCAGTATTTCATCACGCAACACGGTGACGAGACGACAAAAGAATTCCAGAACGTGCGCCGCAACTTCGTGAAGTCTATGGCGGCGTACAGTGTTATTACTTACCTGCTACAAATCAAGGATCGCCATAATGGAAATATCATGATTGACACGCAGGGTCATATCATACATATCGATTTCGGCTTCATGTTTGAAAGCTCGCCCGGTGGTAACCTGGGATTCGAGCCGGACATCAAACTGACTGACGAGATGGTGCTTGTAATGGGCGGTAAGATGGAAGCCGCACCGTTTCGCTGGTTCATGGAATTGTGTGTGCAAGCTTTCCTCGCAGTCAGGTGAGTGCTTTTATTTCAGAAATCCATAAGTTACCAGCAGGGAGCATGTTGCTGTACCTTGTATATTGTAAGAGATAACTTCGTTCTGTTCTATCTTATAGGCCGTATCAAGAAGCAATTATTTCACTCGTCTCTCTGATGCTTGACACAGGATTGCCGTGCTTCCGCGGGCAAACCATTAAACTTCTACGCAGTCGTTTCGTGCCGACTGCTACTGATCGGGACGCGGCGATCTTCATGATCAATGTAATACGTAACAGCTACCTCAATTTCCGTACGAAAACTTACGACATGATACAGTATTATCAGAATCAAATCCCATATTAAACTGTTACCGGAGAGTCTACTTTCCCTTCCTAATGACCAGTCCATCCGCCTTCTCCTCTCCTCTTCCTCGTAATCGTTATTTGGTGATGCGAAAGACGCTGCGATTATTGTTGTAGATTGGATACGCGTACGGGTACCGCATTGTTAGATATCGCAGCGAATATACTGCTTCACTCTGTGAATCTCTGTACAAATGCGTTGGTGTTAATACTATTTTTAGCTCCACGTATATTTTACGAAAGCGTTTCGCTCTGTATGTATGTAATAATGTATTATATTTATCTACGAAATTACTTATATATACATATACATACAAAGTGCCTGCCTTATGCAGCACATCTGTATATGAACACATTCCTGTTTACTAACTTATGCGCTGTTAATGGTTAAAGATTAAATTAAATTACTTTAAGCAGGTGGCTTATTTGAAAACCTTTCTTCTCACAGAATGTTTTCTAAAAAAAAGAAAAGTTGATGTTTCTTTTTATAAAACGTAAGATGACTTAGTGATATTTTCTTGTAATATTATGTGTGACTATTATTTTAGAAGATGAACAAGTGGGCAATTTATAGTAAATAGTTTAATTTATTTTCTACATACATTGGTTAAAACAGCAGTTTTTTCATTAAACAATATTACACTAACGACTTGCAATATAACAGCCACTGTTGTTAATTTAACTCTGGTGTTAATCCCATTTATAAAGTTTTCCTGGAGTTACAAATGTTTTTGCAGAGGGTTCACTTCTAAGAGATAAAAGAAATATATGATAATAGTAGCCTAAATATTTCAAAGTATTTGTTTTTAGTTAGACTTACTGTTTAAAAATCATTCTGATAAATATTTACAATTGAGAAAGAACAAGAATAATACTAAAGGATAAGAATGCAAATTTCAATATCTTAAAATAATTTTATAAGTAATTCTACTTACTTTGTACTAATTTGCTGCATTTTTTTTGCTGTGCTAATTACTAATGGTGGTTTTACTTCTCGTCTAGCATCATGAGTATAGTAGTAGATTTCAGAAGTTTTATGATATGGACCTCCTGGTACATTTGGTGGTGGTTGAGTACGCTCAGCTTGTTCATCAGCATATCTATGCGGTAGCACAACTTTTCTCTGCAATAAGAAAATAAATACTTAACACACATTATCGACTTGTTGTTTAAAACTATTTTATAAATTTATAGAAATGTAGCCAATTTCACTTCAATATGTTTATCACATGAAATGACCAAATAAAATCTTGTGTAATATTGTGATATTGTTTATAGGATAAACAAATCATGCAATTCGCGATAAGTAGAGAAATCTAAGTGCACAAAAGGTTATGTAATTAAATACTTTACTTACTCCCCGGCCGATATTGCGTAAAGTTTTTATTAACCATGTAGCTGAGCGATGCTCTACTGTGCCCGGCATGTCTATCAATAATTTTATGATTTATTGAGAAATAATTAGATTCACAAGTAGCAAGCTTAGACGTATTGATGTACTGCGCTATTTGGATGTTGTTCTCTGTCAGGTTTTGGCTACAAACATCCTTAAAACCGAGTCTACAATAGTTGTACTAAGTTTTAGGCTTGATTTACAATATACTTAAGCTTGCAGATAGGGATGAGTTCCCACTTATGGCTCGCGACATGCGATATGCGACGCGCGATATCCAATTAGCGTACAGCTCTTCCGGAGTATCAGTACGCTCATTGGATATCGTTAGTCGCATATTGTGTGTCGCGTTGCGTATCGCGCTAGTCTACGAGAGCCATTACGCGAAAATACGTGCCATGAGACTCCATCCTTAGCTTAAATCACTGAGCTTCTTGACGCTCCACGTTTTTACGACACTCTGCTCTCCTTAGATAACTTTTAGATGTCAAATAGATAAATAATTATGGGTGTATATCAGTTGGACACGGGGCAATTGGACACAGTCCAATCACAAGTCGCTGTTCCAAGGGACCCTACAAATGTCTCTAATCACACGGTGCTGTGATTGGCTGTGTCCAAATGCACCGTGTCCAAGTGCGCCGCTCCCAATAATTATCTACTGTCACGTCCGACCGACCACTGGCTGTCAGCCAGTGATAATTTTTGTCCAAATAATCCTTTACCTGAGACACTCCAGCTACGAAACCTTTCTTTCTCAAAAGGAAGACATCTCAGATGGCATCACTATCATTCAGACCTCCTCCTAAAGGCGCGATCACAAAAGCTCAGTAGCAGTAGAGTAGTGACCGGCGTAGCAGTCAGTCAAGGGACGTCTACATTGGAAGTAAATAGCAAGAAGTAGGAAGTAAGAGTAAGAAATTGACCAACCACAGTCGAATGTGAGAAGAATAATCAACTATAATTGGTCAATTTCTTATTCTTACTTTCTACTTCTTACTGCTTACTTCCAATGTAGCGTCTCTTTACACAGCACATTTCCTCCTATGCCTTAAGGGACGTCTACATTGGAAGTAAATAGCAAGAAGTAGGAAGTAAGAGTAAGAAATTGACCAACCACAGTCGAATGTGAGAAGAATAATTAACTATGATTGGTCAATTTCTTATTCTTACTTCCTACTTCTTACTGTTTACTTCCAATGTAGACGTCCCTTAAGCGTCTTCTACAATGGCAGTAGGAGTAATAGTAAGAAATAAGCAGTAAGTAAATAGACCAATCACAATCGATTATTTTTGAAACGTAAGAATGGAATTGGTCAATTTGCTTACTGCTTATTTCTTACTACTACTCCTACTGCCATTGTAGAAGACGCTTTAAGCAAAACCGCGACGTGCGGTGTTCCTCCCTAGTGCCCATTGGTCAATTACAAGTAATTCGAATATTCGAACTCGCCGCCGCGCGATCCAGAACGAGGTTCGAGCGCTATTCTTCACGGCAGCGTGGCCGCAACCCGCCGGGACGTAACACTACCTTGTCGTCTTGTTATACTACTTGAAAATATAAAGATGTTGAGTTGTTGAGGATTACGTATTACGATTTCGTTCCTCGATTGAAAACAGTGGCGGTTCGTAACGGAAACTTTGAAACTACACTTTTTGCGGAATATGTTTTTTAGACCCGTTACAGCTATACCTTTTTTGTTAGACCCGTACTAATAAATTAGTAAACATTGCAAATTTATATTCAATATAGTATAACTTGTATTTAATTATTTCTACATAAATGTGAATTTTGAACATAAACATACGTTAAATAGCAAGTAGATATCGCTACTTTTAACTAATTTAATTAATAGACTGTCCAATAATGAACTGCTCATCCGGCTCCGCATTAATGATGAATTGAAGTCGGAAATGATCCCCATTTCCAAATATACAATACGATAATCAGCGTAAGTACAGTATGTTTGATAAGAGCGTGTACGGCAAAACTCAAAAACTTAGGATAATACATAAATTGAAAAAATTTGTACACATTATGCATGATATAGACTGCGATGCTTTATTATTAATAAGTTGTCCAGTCGCCTCCATTATCAATAATTGACTGGCATCTCCGAGGCATACTTTCTACTAATTTTACAGCATAATCTTCAGACAAAGATCTCCATATAAATCGAATCTGTCGAATTAACTGCTTGACGGTCCATATTTTCTTTCCTCGGAGCTTAAACTTTATAAGCGCCCAAACATTTTCAATTGGATTTGCATCTGGCGACTGTGAAGGCCAATCCAGTACGTCAACGTCATTTTCTTGTTTCCACGCAGTACAAAGTCTACTCCGATGTTTCGGATCATTGTCCTCTTGCAGTAGCCAATTTTCATTTTTCCTCGTAAACCACCTTTGGGCAGATGGTAATAAAGCTCTCTCATATATTTGGACCATTTTAGCAGCATCCAAATTTTGTGTAAAGATGTGTAAAGTGCCAAATCCCTGTTTTGAGAAACAGCCCCAGACGTGCACCTTTACCGGATGTTTAACGGTCCGCTCGATGAGTCTTTGGCCTGGGTAGACCAGACACGTCTGATAGAAGACTTTGCCCAAAACGAAGCTTCACCTGAAAAAAATTT